ACCCTAAAGCCCCCCTAAACCCTAAATGCTGAAACACCCTCACCTTGCTCCGAGAGGGACTCGAGCAAGCGCAGCAGCAGTGCCTGTCACCGGGAGGCTCCGTTTAGGGTTTAGAGTTAGGGTTTAGGGGTTTAGGGTTTAGGGTTTAGGCCTAAGGGTTTCGATGAAGGGTTCTAGAAGGGTGCTGTAGGGTTCTACGGGCTTTCATGTCATGCGAATAAACTTAGGATCTTTCAGGGCTCCTTGAAAGCATTCTGTGAGGGCTACTTTACCGGGGATGCTGTAAGTGTACTAGAAGGGGTACGATAAGTTGGTAAGGAGGGTACTACCAAGGCTACTTTAAGGGTTTTGCAATTCATTCTGATGGGTTCCGCAAGGGTTTGTGCTCTCGGGTTTGGGCATTTCGACGCCACACGCGCTTCCTGACTAGCTCGTCACATATTCTTCAGGGCTCCCTAGTATTAGATAGACAGACAGACAGACAGACAGACAGACAGACAGACAGGCTAGTGGCGTGCTAAGTGTAGTGAATTCCGGGACGGTAGTTTAACAGGCAGAACCCCTAAACCCTGACCCGACAGGAAACAGAAAGAGCGGAAACCAGTAGCTTGGACAAGGGGACACTACATGTCACACTGATCGCTGAAGACTGACGAATCTTATGGTACCTGTTTTCGGTCCTTCTCAGCATCAACCTCTTTAAACAGGACTTACCACCGTTAGCGTCATGGGCTCGGGGCTTGGAGCTCTGGGGCTTGGCTGTGTATGCCCCATGCCCTCCACGTCACAAATGGAATCAGCGGGGCATGCCCCAGGTGAGTGAAAGACCGATATCCATTCCAGCACAACTCAGCACAAGTCAAAGGTGCCGTATGGCAGAGCACAGCACGACGACGCAAACCACACACAAGCCACAAGCTTTCACTGGTGTCGTATTGGGTCGTGCTCTATCAGCGTGCCCGAGATCAGTATCATGTCTGCAGATCAAAAATGGATGGCGCGGCACCGAAGGCATCATAGAGCGTCTGACACAACATGACCGCCCCATCACAATGATTCTCAAGCTATGCGTTCTCAGTGTGCCCTAGTCGATATCAACGTGGAGCTCAACAATGGATGGCGCGGCACTCATTGCATCATTGAAGCAACTACCATGCATCATTCCGCGTTACCAATGGTGTACCCTTGAGAACCTTGCCGTGTCATGAACATGGACGGCAAGCCACTCATCAAATCTCCAGGCAACGAACACAAGACGCACGCTACGCATCGACATCGAGCTGTGCTTCTTCAGTGTGCCCGAGACTGAAATCACATCTCAGATCAGAAATGGATGGCGCGGCACCGACAGCATCATTGAAGCAATTCGCGTAAGCCACCAGGGTCCACCGATAGCACCGATGCATGTAGCATGCTTTCATACGACGTCAGTGTGCCCGAAATCAGTATCATATCCATTGATCAAAAATGGATGGCGCGGCACTCTTAGCATCATTGCAGCAACTCTCGTATAGCGGTCACATGCCTCCGTGCTACGTCAGTGTGCCCGAAATCAGTATCATATCCATTGATCAAAAATGGATGGCGCGGCACTCTTGCATCATTGCAGCAACCAAATGCCTCCGTGCTACGTCAGTGTGCCCGAGATCAGTATCACATCTTCCGATCAAAAATGGATGGCGCGGCACTCTTGCATCATTGCAGCAACTCGTTTGAGCATGTCGTACAGCGATCACATGCCTCAGTGCTAGGTCAGTGTGCCCGGGATCAGTATCACATCTTCCGATCAAAAATGGATGGCGCGGCACTCAAAGCATCATTGAAGCACGAACGCAGGTCTGACCAATCGCATCCGATGCACAAGTTCGCTGCGTCAGCATGGCCGGAACCATATCTTGTTCTAACCAACATGTAGACTGTAAACGACGCCGCACGCATGGCATCAGAGAGATGCAGACGCAACCATCGCAAATCTCCGACGATGTGGAGCTCCTTCCACATACCTGAGGTGACTCACCATGGCAAGAAAGAACAAGCATGCAAGAAAACGCAATACGACGATAGCTGTCCGGACATGAAGCACGCAAGCCAGAATCTGTACCGTCTGAGCAGAGGGATCAGGATGCGGGCTCTTCGAACACGCCACAAGCCCAAATCGAACTCCAAGGGCCTACACTGAACCTCCAAAGCCTGACCTCCAAACTTCGAAAATCCTAATTTACCTTTCTATCCGGTAGCTTGGGGTGTTTACAGGTAACCTTCGAAAACGGTCAAGAAGGGTACACACTGGACACCATTTAGGGGGCCCTTGAAAGAACTCGTGAGTAGCCCTCAAAGGACTCTAAACCCTAAACTCTAAACCCCTACACCCCTAAACCCTAAACCCCTAAACCTTAACCCTAAACCCATAAACCTTTTTTTTAAAGAACCCTAGGTCCAATCGCTCTTTGGCCCTCTGAGGCCGCACGGACCTCGACCCAGAGCTCCCAGGGGTTGCGGGATCCCGCCTTCGAAACTACGGCTTATTAGTGTGTTTGTAAGGTTTCAGGTTTCCTGTTTTTTGGGGCGATTGCAAGGTTTAGAGCTTTGTCTCTTCTTTTTGAGGGCCTAAACTCTAGGGCTTGGGGTCTAGATTTTGGGGGCTAGGGTTTAGAAACTAAGGCTTGCTAGGGCTTTTAATGGGTTCAGGGTTGTCGGGGTTAGGGGTTTAGGGTTGAGAGCTTTGGGTGTTAGCCTTTAGGGATTAGGCGTTTGGGGGCTTAGGGTCTAAAGTTTCGGCCTTGGGGCTTTATAGGGTTCTACATAGTGCTTTGTAGTTGGGCTTTTTGGGGGTGTTGCGAGGCTTTGCAGGGCCTTGATAAGTTTTATACCGTTTCATAGGAGTTTAGAGTTTGAGGCTGAAGGGTCTGGGCTTTGGGGTTTGGTATGGGGTTCACGTGTCCAGGGTCTACGGGTGAAAATGGCCTTGGGCTCGTCTTAGTCTCAGGGTCTGGAGGTTCCGGGGGCTTAGTAACTACGGTTATAAGTAAGGTAACTATACATATAACTAACTAGAACCAAGGAAAGGTACTTAAACCTGCACAAATTAAGTCCCAAAACCCAGCCTACACCCCTAAACCCCTAAAGCCTAGAACCCCTGCACTTTAGACCGTGAACTTCCAAGTACAACAGACTAGCTGCGTCATGAACCGCCAGGTGGACCCTAAACCCTGAACCACTTATAGAACCCTTCAAGGAACCCCTTAAAGGAACCCTTTAACTTACGAAGCCCCATGAACCCTCAAACCCTAAACCTTAACACCTTGAACCCTCAAGTAACCCCTGTAGCGCTTTGTTCCCCGAAGCTCGGCGGACTTGGAAACGGCTCTGTACACAGAAGGGCTTAGGGTTGCTTTCAGGATCTGGGGTTTAGGGTTTAGGGTTGTGTTTTTAGGGGTCTGGGATTCAGGGTTTGCTTTAACATCTAGGGGTTCTGGATTCATTTATAAGGTCTAGAGTTCAAAGGTTTAGGGTCGTTTGTGTCAGACTTTTGGGTTTCGGCTGTCTTGAGGGGTTTAAGGCTTATGATTGTAGGCTCCAGGGTTTGAGGTGGATTCACGCGTTTTGTACAGGGCACTATTAGGTTTCTATAAGGGATACCAGAAGGGTTGGGGGGCTCAGGTTTTTGGAATTTCGGAGTGAAATATTTGAGGTTGTAGGGTGAACAGGGTCTAGGCGGGTGAGTTGATGAAGTTCAGAGCTCCAGGGAGCGTGAACCCTCGACCTATGCTGGCAGGCCTGCAGCCTAAGAGTCTAAAACCCTTACGGCTTAGGCTTCAGGGTTTAGGGTTTAGGTTTTAAGGCTTAGGGTTTAAGGCCCTATAGCTCTCTACCCTAAACCCGACTGGAGCATGGAGCTCGGGTTACAGGCAGCAGCGAGGCAGCGATGCATGGCGCAGTTTCCCCGGAGAGACCCAAGCAAAATCATCTCCGGGGCACACCACGCGAAAACTCGGCACGATCGCCTCTCATCTACTGGCCGGTGAGCCTGATGCTCGAAGCATCGATGACGGCGCTTACTTTGCATGACGCCTTTCCTTCTCAATGCATCGGGCTCTACACTGCTAAATATACGATCCTAGACAACTCATGGCCTGCATCCGGACACCGTTCATGCCTAAACGGCCGCGGCCAGCATCAAGCGCTGCCCTTCGATTCTAGACGAAGGTCAGCTCAGACTCCTGGGGGGCCGCCCAAAGCCTCAGCATGGACGAGGCATAAGAGTTATCATTATGAGAAACAGTCTCCTTAATATTCCTACTATCTTATTCTTGCTCTTATAAAAGAAAGCTTCGGGTGTTCTAGCATATTGGAACGTGCTTGGCTTTAATGTTGGATTCAGGTGTGTTTGGGGTCATACGTCTCCTGCCTGGTGGCTCTAAACCCTACGCCCTGAACCGCAAAGCCTAAATCCCGAAAGAGTAGACACATTCAAACCAATAACCCTGGAATGGTTTCGGGCCTGGGGGAGTTTACAGGGCTTGCAGCTTGCAAGGCTTACAGGGCTTTACGGTTTATACGGCTTATAGGGTTTTGGAGTTTTTGGGTTTATGTTGTGTCCGCGTGTGGCATGGTATCTCGCTGATCAAGTTGAGTCCCCTTACCTGATCTGATTTCAACCAGAACACATGTACTCAGACTTCAACCAGAACACATGTAATCAGATACCCTAAACCCTAAACTGAACCATAAACCCCAACCCCTAACCCCAAAATCCTAACCCCTAAACCCCAAACCCTAAACCCTAAACCCTGCTTCTACAGCTCCGGGAGGAGCCCGGGCTCCCGGCTTCTGCCAGAAGTCGCAGTCCGCGGCGTGCATGCCACCCTCCGGGGCGATTCCGATGCCATCCACCGCAGGATCCGAGAAGACCTCGGCCCGGAGCGAGCGGCCGAGGGCGTAAATAAGAATAAGGCTGCAGAGGGTTCCTGCGAAGGGTTCTCGAAAGGGGTTGTATAAGGGCTACTAGAGGGGTTGCTTGGGGTATGATGAGAATAGGGTATTAGGTTTTGTTCATATATAAACAAAAAAGGCCTACAAAGGACAAAAATCTGCAGACCTCTTAACTGAGACTTCAGGACTGCGGGCTGGGTTTATGGGTTTAGGGTTTAGGGTCTTGGGTTTTGGCTCCACGATGAGGAGAACAATCAGCAAGCTAGATTGGAAGCCAAAGGGTGCTTCCAAGATTTTAGGGTATACCCTGACCACAATTTAAAATCATTTCTGATGAAGAGCTCATACACTACTACACCCCGCGTTAACTACAATAAGTTCCGGGCTCCTATGAAAGCTGGCGAACTACGTGGCCCTGGGCTCTACCGAGCTTTTGAACCCAGAAGAGACTTTAGACTTTGGGGCTGTAGGGTTCAGGGAGGCTTCATAGCTCAGGGTTTAGCACCTAAGCATGCCTATCCTACAAGTGCAGTATGCTGTCAGAGCTAACGGTGAACCAAGAAAGGAATCTGACCTCCTGACTCCGCTAAGGCCAAGCGTTGTCTCACCGAGTAGCACCTTTTTAACCGGATCTCTGACAACTTTAGCCTCTATGTCAAGTTTAGATTCAATTCACCTTGCAAGGCGTTTCATCTACTTGCAGTACCCTTTCACATCCGATGAATCCGTTCACCCTGTTCACATGCCGCAGGCAAAAGGGCCGTGCCATGAGTTATGGCGCAAGTTCTGCAATTTGCGCAAATACTCCACTAACTGCTGGTTCTCAAGGTAGGCTTTGAGGAGCTTGTGCTCTTGCTTCAACACCTCAACCTCGGCCATCTTGGCAGTTGCTTCCGCAAACTGCCCGCCCTTCCTAAAGCGAGCAGCTTGGCTTTGAGCCGCCAGTATCTTCCTCGCCCTTTCTTGGCCAGCAGCGTCCAGCCTCTGCCCAAAAGCTTGGTTCCCAGTCAGGCGCCCCAGCTCAGCATGGACTTGGGCTGCAGTCTCCGGCGTCAAGCCTAAAGCCAGCTGTGCTTGTTCTGCTTTGCATAACAGTCCAGCATCCAAGAGGTGCTGCAGTATCTGCTTGCAGGAGGTCAGACCGCAAACCCAAAGCACATGTGCAGACCCTCCCACCTTTGCAAGTGTCGCTTCTTTGCCTAAGCTCTGGGCTAAAAACTCGCGAAGGCACTCCAGGACTCGCGGATGCTTTTGCGCCACCTGCAAGGCCAGTGAGGCTCCTCCGTGCTGTTGCGAGATGCAGCCCTCTGCATCAAAGAAACCAGCACTGTATTCCCAGCTGCACGGACCAGTGCCGGCAGAATCGCACTGCTTCAGCACACGCAGCTCGGCCTGGCACTCCTTTCTGCAGAACTTGGCCTCAGGCCACTGGGCCGCCAAGAAGAGCTGCTTCTGCTTGGTGATGCTATGCGGTGCCAAGAGCTGGGCTGCATTCCGGGCTGACTGGCCACATGCTACCCACCGAAGAGTAGGCTTGCGCAGGCCCAGGCCGCTCCAATGACGTGTGATGCTTCCCCCAAACGTTTCATGAAACAGCATCAGAACCTCGGCCTGGTCGAAGGACTGCACTACCGTCAAGTAGCACCCCGACAAGTTCGGCCTACAAGCCACGCAGCCATCTCCGTCGAAGAAGCCGGCCATGTAGGCCAGCACAGGCTCAGATGGCAAACGATGCAAGTCCCTGCTCTCGGCTCGTAACGGCAGGCTGTAAGTTCGCCCGTTTGACACGAAACGCTTGAGCTCGGGCCAACGAGACTTGCTCAGCTGTACCCGGACTTGATCATTTTTGCTCTGCACCTCTTTCAAGGTATCAGACGCTTCCGGGAATAAGCTGCAGCACATGTCGGCGTTGCGTCTTGCTGGGCCTACCAGGATCTTGCTGACACTGGCTCGGAGACTGACCCGGAGTGCTGGTGTCAGCAAGCTTGCCGCCCATCCTGCTTGCCTTCTCGCATGCAGAGCCTGTCGCAACAGAACTTGGCTGCCTACAGTTATCATTCCATCCGATCCGCAAAGGAGGGACTCCGGCAGAGGACGCCCATCGGTTGGCCACGAGCCAAAACAACTGCGGCATCTAGGTCATTCAGCTCGTGGCTTCGAGCCTTTTTGCCTGTGCCCTTGGGTAGATGCAGCTGTCTGGTGGTTTGCTTGCAGGCCTCATTGACTGCCCAGACCTGACGACTCCAGTTTTCAAGCCTAACCGTTAGACTCAGACGCCAAATCTCTCACCGTAATGTAGAAGTTGCATAAGGATCCCCTAAACCCTAAACCTTAAAACAGACGCCGAGCACCGCCCAACCGTGAAGCCGACGTCCCTCAAGCAACCCTACATCCGAAACCCAAAGCCCTAAAACCCATAAAACTTGCCATAAGACCGTGAAGTCGTAAAGCTCTGAACCCTAAAGCGTAAACCCCAAAACCCGAAACCCCCAAACCCTCATTGTTGATGGCCTTATAGTACCCGTATTACAGTACCAATTATAGCACCCTCATCGGAACCCTAAAACCTAAACTGAGTTGGTCCGGCACTCCTAAATCTTAGAGGCAAGGCTGCAGGGCTGTTCATGGCTGAGGGTTTTTCAGGGTTTAGGCTTTAACTTTTCGGGATTCGGGCCTCGGGGTTTGAGCTTTTTGGGCTTAGGGCCTTAGGGTTTTAAGCTAGGATTTGAAAGTGTTTAGGGGGTTAGGGTTTAAAGATCCAAAGTTACAGCAGGATCGCTCCTACTACGGAGGCCGACAAACCTTCGAAGCTCGAAGCTGTCAGGCTTCGATCCACGGTTAGGACCGAGCCTAGGATCTTTTTTCATGGCTTTGAGACAACGCGTTTCATCTAATTGCGGTTCTCCTTCACGTCCGATGAATCCGTTCCCCCCGTTCACATGCCGCAGGCAAAAGGGCCGTGCCATGAGTTAAGGTGCAAGTTCTGCAACTTGCGCGAATACTCCACTAACTGCTGGTTCTCAAGGTAGGCTTTGAGGAGCTTGTGGTCTTGCTTCAACACCTCAACCTCGCCCATCTTAGCACTTGCTTCCACAAGCTGCCCGCCCTTCCTAAAGCGAGCAGCTTGCTGTTGAGCCGCAACAATTTTTCTAGCCCTTTCTTGGCCAGCAGCGTCCAACCTCTTCCCAAAAGCTTGGTTCCCAGTCAGGCGCCCCAGCTCAGTGTGGACTTGGGCCGCAGTCTCCGGCGTCAAGCCTAAAGCCAGCTTTGCTTGTTCTGCTTTGCATAACAGTCCAGCATCCAAGAGGTGCTGCAGTATCTGCTTGCAGGAGGTCAGACCGCAAACCACAAGCACATGTGCAGAGTTTTTTGCCTTTGCAACTGTCGCATCTTTGCCTAAGCTTCGGGCTAAAAACTCGCGAAGGCACTCCAGGACTCGGGGATGCTTTTGCGCCACCTGCAAGGCCAGTGAGGCTCCTCCGTGCTGTTGCGAGATGCAGCCCTCTGCATCAAAGAAACCAGCACTGTATTCCCAGCTGCACGGACCAGTGCCGGCAGAATCGCACTGCTTCAGCACACGCAGCTCGGCCTGGCACTCCTTTCTGCAGAACTTGGCCTCAGGCCACTGGGCCGCCAAGAAGAGCTGCTTCTGCTTGGTGATGCTATGTGGTGCCAGGAGCATGGCTGCTCTTCGCGCAGACTGGCCGTATGACAGCCACTGAAGTTTTGGTTTTCTCAAACCCAGGCCGCCATTTTGGAGCCCGATGCCCCCACCAAATGCCTCGCGCAGGAGCATGAGAACTTCCGCCTGGTCAAAGGACTGGCCCACGTGCAACCTGCATCCAGACAGATCCGTCGTACAGCTTACGCAGCCATCCCCATCGAAGAAGCCGGACAAGTAGGCCAGCGTGGCTTCCGAAGGCAAATCAGACGAGACCCGGCTCTCGGCTCGCAACGGCAGGCTGTAAGTTTGCCCGTTTGACGCGAAACGCTTGAGCTCGGGCCAACGAGACTTGCTCAGCTGTTCGCGGACTTGATCGTTTTTTCTCTGCACATCTTGCACGGTATCAGACATTTCCGGGAATAAGCTGCAGCACATGTCGGCGTTGCGTGTTGCTGGGCCTACCAGGGTCTTGCTGCGACTGACCCGGAGACTGACCCGGAATGCCGGTGTCAGCAAGCTTGCCGCCCATCCTGCTTGCCTTCTCGCATGCAGAGCCTGTAGCGTCAGAACTTGACTGCCTGCAATTATCATTCCATCCGATCGGGTTGGCCACGAGCCAAACCAACTGCGGCATTTAGGTCATTTAAGTTCGTAGAGGCAAGACTGCAGGGCTGTTCATGGCTGAGGGTTTTGCAGGGTTAAGGCTTTCGGGTCTTGGGCTTCGGGATTAGGCCTAAACCCTAAACCCTAAACCCAACTTTTAGGGATTCGCGCCTCGGGGTTTGCGCTTTCTGGGCTTACGGCCTCAGGGTTTTAAGCTTCTGGGGTCGTAATCTCGGCCTTGAGCGGGTTTAGGGGTTTTGGGTTTAAGGGTTTAGGGTTACAGAGGATCGTTCCTATTACGGAGGCAGACAAACTAGAATCTTGTCTGAGGGCTTTGAGAAGTAAGGTATTGACTACACTATCGTAGTAGCCCTGAGAGAAGCCATTCAGATTGGTGTGAAGACGAAGCCTGAACCAGTGTGGCAATGTAGGGGCCTTAATAAATAGAATAGGGTTTTGGGGCCCATCATACTTTATTATAATAAGGAACCCCAAAGAAAGATATTGGTAGTTATTTAGGCTTCTATAGTAACCCTACTAGTTACAGAACCCCTGTAGAAACCCAAACAAAGCCATTCTTCGCAGCAGGACTGGGAAGATCGGGTCTAGAGAATGATGAACCTTGATCGCAAAAAAAACCGACATAGGTGTCGTAATCATTGTAATAGAGTGTCGAAGTATATTACCTTATTTCTAGTTATACTTGAAGGAACCCTAACCTACAACTGAAACGAACCCTGCGCCAAGAGGCTAAAGTCCTTCACTCCACGAATTCCTGACTCCCAGGAAGTAGCCTTTTCGATGTAACTTGACAGCCCTGGACAGTTCACCCAATCTTGCTCGGGCAGGGCACCAGCGTGCCCGCATCAGCGAGAGTTCCGCTGTATCGCGGCCAGGAAACCCTGGGCGAATTAGGGTGGAGCGTGTTTGGTAAATTCATGTTGGTCGTCGTCGTCGTAGTAAGTAGCAACAGCAGCAGCAGTAGCAGTAGTAGTAGTTGTTGTTGTTGTAGCAGTAGTGGTAATTGTAGGAGGCTCTGGTCCTAAGTTGACGGGTGTTGGACTCTCTGGGAACTGACAGCCCAGTTGCAACGGCCGACCACTGGTAGCGAAAGCCGCCCAATGTGCTCCTCAGAAACAAACGAACTGTCAAAAGCATAGACAAGGAGCATTGAGAATAAGAACAGATTTTTGGTGGTATGTTATGGTACATGTATACGAAGGACTGCTAAGAAACAGTGTTACTATTTGTTCAGGCTTCTCCCTAAACCCTAAACCGTTCAACTGAACCCGCAGACACGAAAGCTAGGATGCTAGGTAAGCCAAGGTGAGGGGCTCTAGGAACAACGCTCAAAAATAACGCACTAGAGGCTAAATAACTACGAATACTGTTTTGAGGCTCCTTATTATAAGTATCGTATAAAAAATCCCAAAACCCGATTCAAATTATTAAGGCCCTTATATTACCCTTACAGTAGCCCTTATACTTGTACCCTGAAGCTTCCCCAAGCCCCGGATCGAGCTGGCGAGAAGAAGAACCACAAGAAGCAGAGGACTCGGGTTTAGGGCTTTAAGGCTTTAGGGCTTTGGGGCTTTAGGGTTTAGGGTTTTTGGGTTGAGGGCTTTAGGGTTTTAGGTTCAGGGTCAGGGTTTTAGGACTTAAGGTTTGAGGGTCTAGGTCGGCTTGGGGCTTGAAACACTGCACCCTCGAATCCCTGATGGCAACATCATCGCCTTGAAACTAAGCGGTTTAGGGTTTAGGGTTTAGGGCGAACTAACCGCGCGAAGCCTCGGACCGCCAAACCCAAAGATCCCCCCAAGGCAAAGCAGAAATCGCGGGAAACGCAACAGAGGCAATCCGAGAAGCGCATTTGCTGGCTCAACAGGAGCTCGCCACTGTCAAAAGTGCAAATGGTCCTGGCAGTTTGGTGAAGTTTTGGCTTCAGGAAATAGACCCACAGTTAGACCATAATCCTAGACCCCCAAGCTCTCCGTGTCTGTTTGAGATTTAGGGTTTGATTTGACTTGAGGGTCTCCAGAAGCAAAGAGTTGCGAACCTGTGAGGCTTTCAATGCGGGTTTAGGGGCTTGGGATCTAACATGCGGCGAAAGTTCCACGGCCCCCCGTTAACGAAATCATTTTGGCCCTTTTAAAGCCTGAAAAGATCGGACAAGACGCCGTCCTTATAAACCCATAAACCCGAAACAAAAGCTGCAAACACGATCACGAGCCTGTTGTTCGGAGGACCCAGCCCGTCCGGACCCACCTTTCCATGGGGTTGAGGGTTGCTTGTGGGGTGCTTCAGAAGCTTTCTACTGTTGCCTGAGAGGGCATAGTATCGGGGCCTGAGCAAGTCTGTTGGACATAAATCATGCTGCAACTGCAGAAGGGAACCTCTAGGAACACCATCCCAGCTTCCAAGGCGTTCAGGCTGTGGGATTTTGCAGTGATAAGGTTCCTTGAGGGGTTCTGTATGGGCTCCATAACCCAACTCGGAAACCACCTGTAAACAATCATACAACCACGTTTAAACCCTATAAAACCCTGTAGACAATCATACAACCTTGTATAACATCAAACCATCGAGCCCCTGTAAACCATAATACAATCTTATCTAAACACAACCTATGTAAATCCTGTAAACCATCATACATCCGTATTTACAGAATTACACAACCTTGCAAACAATCATACAACAAGGTAAAACGGTAGAATCCTATAAGGCGCTTCCGCAAACTCCGTGCTGCATCTCGACTGAGCATTCGGAAGCCAAAGCCCCAGTACTATACAGGCCTCAGCAATTAGAACAGAGCTTGGGGATATATTGCACTTTCCTTATGATAAGGAGCCCGAAGGGCATGATGCTAGAAGCTAGAAATTTCTGTAGCATCCCAAGAGATCGACTTTTCCAGATCACATATGTGCAAAGGGATTAAGGAAACCCGGGATGTAGGGATGGAGAGTTTACGGTTGAGGGATGCAGGAGTTTATGGCTTTGGGTTTTAGGGTTGCGAGTTTACGGTTTTCAAGCAGGTTTCAGAACAAATTAGCATGTAGGTCTGGTGAAATACAGCTGGCCTGCAGTACTTACACGCAGCTCTTAACAGTGCATTGCTGCCGGGGCCGCCTGGTTTCCGAAGACAAACTTGACCTCGGCTGCGAAAACGTGCGTTAATGTAGAGGATCCCTGTCTTGGATCACGAGAAAAAAGCCTACAGAAGCGAAATTTACTAGTGTCCCACATGTTCTTAAGCTTCCAAATATGGGATGATCTAGGGCTCCATGTGGTTGAAGTTTTGGGGTTGAGGATCACGTCGTGGTATCCTACAGCATAGCAGGGAACTGCACGACCCCAGACAACCTGTAGCAAGGCACAATGTTATGAAAGGTTATGAACTTGTCTAGGAAACCTTTCTACGAGACCCTATATAGGAACCTTGATAGAACCCTTCCTGAACCCCAAACTCATTCGTGAAGCCCTACACCTACGCCCCAAACCCTGAACTCCAACCTCCTGAACCATACAACATATCCAAAAGGGCCTTCGAGGAAATTTGAGGCCGGCTGTTCATCAAAGGCACTTCGTCCCCATGCATGGCGAAAAGCTTCCTGGGCTCCGTTGCAGCTTGCGGTTTGAGCTTGAGCCGGAGATTTTTTGTCTCGGATTTAGGGACTTTGGGTTCGGGGCATCAGCTTGGGGCTGGGGGATTGGAGTTTAGAGTTCCAGGGCCAGGGTCTGAAGCCTAAAGTTTCGAGGTTTTTTCTGTAACCCCCGACATCTGGAACGAGGCTTCCCCAAATCCCCAAACCCTAAATTGAACCCCTTTAAACCTTTCTACCCTTTCTACACCGAAACACTAGGTCTAGGGTACTTGACGGCGTGGCATGAGTCTCTCAAAACGCACTCTCACGTTCAACATCCATGCTCAGACGTCAGGCTACAGCAGAGCAACACAGCGACCGTTCGGCAGCGACAGCAGTCAATCGAGTGCATACAGTCGACAGACCATTCCGGAAATCGAAGCCTGGACGCAAACTAGAGGTGGTTCGTCCTGCTTTCCAACCGTCATGGAGGGGGCAGTGTCGGGCAACAGCGGTCCACAGCAGCTTTTATGGGCAGTGGATTCTAGCTCCGGCCGTGGATCTACAGAACCAAGCTCAGGAGCGAGCCAGCCGCTTCAGGTAACCCTAAACCCTAAACCGTAAAACATGCTGTCGACGAAGAGGTACAGTCGGGCAACAAAACTGTTCGAAAGGGGGTGTGGGCCCAGACGGTTTTTTTGCTTCAAACGGCGGTGCAAGATTGGTTTAGGGGTTTAGGGTTTAGAGTTTAGGGCTTTGGGGTTTAAGACAAAACCCTAAACCCTAAACCCTAGACCCTAAACCCTAAGCCCTAAACCCTAAACCCTAAACCCCAAAACCCCAAAACCCCAAAACCGACGAAAACCCCACATTGCGGTCCGGGGCTCGTGTACTCGGACTGCTGCGCCGGTGTCACATCCAACTCCTTGGCCCAGATGTCCCGAGGGTTTAGGGCTTAGGGCTTAGGGCTTAGGGTTTAGGGTTTAGGGCTTAGGGTTTAGGGTTTAGGGCTTAGGGTGTAGAGCTTAGGGTTAAGATTTGAGAATTTAAGCCCTTAAAGCCTATCAAAACGGGAATGACCGTCGTATGTCCAAGGCGTGGTCTGCTGCAGCTTCGGATTCATGCTGCACTTTCAGATATATGCGGCAAACCCTGCCAAGCCCTTTCTGAAGCGAAAGAGATTTAGTTTTAACAAAAGATTTAAACGACCCTTAACAAACCGCTACAAAATGCAATAACACCCCATAAAACCCAACCGCTTCGAATCCTGCAACGGCCTCTAAAAACCTCATATAGCCCTATAAAGGCCCTTGAGAAACCCGACAAGAGCCCTTCAGCTTTCGCCGAAGCTCCGGGCCGTTCGAGCAGCCAAAGCCATCGGCGCGCAGCCGGGAGGGAATGTAGTGCGCGAACTCGTAGGACCAGGTGTCCACGAAATCCTGAAGCTTTGGGGGGGTTGCTCAAAGGGTTCTAAGAGGGCTCGGTAAGTGCTTTACAGCGGTTTTGGCGCTTAGGGCTCAGGGCTTGGAGCTTTTGGCTTAAAGCTCAGAGTTTTGAATCTAGGGATGAAGGCTTGGAGCATGATGTCCAGATTGCGGCTTGGGGCGGTTGTTGTTTGTGGTGGGGGGTGTTCGAACATCAAACGACTTAGCAAGCACCGTTACCAGTAAGGCACTGATGATATAAGTGGCTATACTGTACCTATGCTTCCCTTACATAAAACCCGGCTTCCTATGTGCCCTGATCTGGTCCAGTAGGTATTTCATTCGGGATTTCGCGTCTTGCGTTAAAAAAATCCCTGCACCCTAAACCCCAAAGCCGAACCCGACGAAAAACCTGAACTCAAATCCCCTCGCTAAGCAACCCAGGCGCTACACACCTTATACTATACACTCTGACTCTAAACCCTCCTGCCACTTCCCCCAAACCCCAAACCTTTAAGCCTAAACCAAAAAGGCTAAACCCCAAGGCGTAGAGCCTAGAGCCCTCCACCCCAAAGCCTGAAATTTAAACCCCAAAACACACCCTAAAGCCTACTATCAACCCTCAGCCCCCTTTTTTGAAAAGCATACAGCCTAAACCCTGAGCCCTAAGCCCCAAAACGCCAGTGCCGGCCTGCGCATATTGGAGCAGCCTCGGCTTCGAAACTAGGGTTTAGAGTTGAAGGTTTTTGGATTTCAGGGTTTGGGGTTTACGGCTTAGGGCTTAAAGGTTCAAGGGTTTAAGGGTTTAGGGTTTAAGGGGCTGTAGGGGTTGGGCCTAAGGGTTGGGGCTTGGAGCTCAGAGGGTTCAATATGGGGGCCCTACCAATTGGAATAGGGTTCCTTTGAAGTCGTCTATAAGGGTTGTTCTTTACAGTTTTAGGTGGGTTTTAGTATAGGGGGGCTCTAAACCCTAAACCCTTCACCCCTAACAAACCCTAAACCCTAAACCCCTAAACCCTAAATTGCTTGCTCCCTATGTTAAAGTCTAGAAGGTCAGGGTTGAGGGTTTGGTTTCGGGATGAAAGTTCAGGGTCGTGTTATAGTGTAGCCATACGGTTTAGGGTTTGGGGCTCAGGGGTTTAGGGTTTAGGGTTTAGGGATTAGGGATTTAGGGTTTCGGGTCTAGGGCCGTGTAGGGGAACCGGGAGAAAGAAGCTTTTCGTTCAGGCCATCCTGTCATCGTTCCCGTGAGGACTTGCGGGTTCAGGGCTTGGGACTGCGCTGCCTCCAAGCCACTGGTAGGCCGGACAGATGACCATCGAGTCGGCATCGACTTGCAGAAACGCCTTGCGAGATCCTAAGCTCTTTAAATCTTTAAACCCCAAGTTTGGATCATGAGCCCCCCAAGTCCTTAACCTACCGAAGCCCCAATCTAAATCCTAAATCGCAGCGCAGTGTAGAAATTGCCGGGTGTGCATTTGACTGACACTGAACCGCACAAACCTCAAAACCCTTACACCTAAAACATCAGATCCGAATTACAGAACTCTTCAAACAGGAACACCCTTCTAGAAACGAGGCTTACAGTAACCCTGGAGCCCTCTACCCTCCAGACAGAAGATCCTTCTCATAGGTTCTAGAACCCACATAAGACCCTTATAGCAACCCTACAGCCCCGAAACTTCTCAAAAAAGCAGGAACTTTTATAGACCCCTTGCAAATCTTCTAGTAACCCTAGGCCCTGCGCCTTGAATTCTGAAGATCCCTATACATGGTTTGGGGTTTGGGGTTTAGGGCTAGTAGCCCGAAAGCTTGGACCAAAAGAGCTTTTAAACGGAACCCTCATTCAAGAAAAACTGAACTCTGCACTCCAACTGCCAGTTGGAGGGCCTTTTGCGGACTCCCTGAGAAGCGAGAGAGGGGATACTGCTCCAGCACCTGGGGCTCGGAGGTTTGGCTTTGGTATTAGGGCTTCAGGATTAAGGGTTGAGGGTTAAGGGTTTAGGATGGAGGATTAGGGTTTAGGGCTTCAGGGTTCAGTTGAAGGTTTGCAGATCATGGTAAAGGGTTGGAGAATTTAGGGTTTATAGCTTCTCAGAGGTTTGGGTCTTGTCTCAGAGTTTTTGGTGTCTCAATTTTTGGGACTTCGGGCTTTGGGGCGTGTCTTCAAGGTTCGGGATTTCCGATTAGTCCTGATGAGGCTTTTGGGCTTCCTAACCCTTGACCCTTAACCCACAAAAGACCAGTAACCCCCTTCCTTATATCGAGGCCTTGACACTTACAATACAATAGGTATACAGGGCCTCCAAGGGGAGAAGATGGCTAGTTATTCAACGTCTATGCTACTGCTTGCTTAATGCATGCTCCGTGCATGACACAGGAGGCTTTTGCAATCGATGTAGGGCGTCTTGCTTTCAACCCTGAAGCCTCAAACGTAAAGGCCCGAATCCCTGCTTCCTAAGGCCTCCAAACCCTAAACCCGAAACCCTAAACTCCAAACCCAACCCCTATGAAGATCCTGAACTCTCAATCCTAAACCCTAAAGCTTACGGTTGAAGCGTCGTCGGTGGAATGAGGCTCGTCTCTTGCTTGATGAAAATGCGCGGGTAGCTAGCACACGTAGGGTTCAGGGGTTTAGGGGTTTAGGGTTTGAACTGCCTTCCGCACAGTCTGATACGATCCCCTAAACCCCTAAACCCCTAAAACCCTAAAACCCTAAGACCCCAAACCCTTAAACCCCTAAACCCCTAACACCCCTAACCCCTAAACCCCTAAACCCCTAACCCCTAAACCCCCAAACCCAAACCCCCTAACCCCCAAACCCCCTAAATCCTAAACCCTAAACCCCTAAACCCCCAAACCCCCGAACCCCCAAACCCCCAAGCCATCCAAACCCTAAGCCCTGCATCCTCAGCTTCAAGGCCGAGGCGCCTTCGGCGCCAGGCTTCCCCAAACCTTTTGGATCGCCGCCTCGTAGTCTCCGGGCTCACTCCTTGGCTTTAAGAGGCTCCCTTTAAGGGCCCCCTTTAGAGGGTCTTTAGGGTTTAGGGTTTAGGGCTCAGGGTTTAGGGTGTAGGGCTCAGGGCTTAGGGTTTAGGGTTTAGGGCTTAGGGTTCAGGGTTTAGGGTTTACGGTTCAGGGTTTGGGGTTAAGGGTTTGGGGCTCAGGGTTTAAAGTGTACTACCGGGCTCTTGTTCAGGGCTCCTTTCAAGACTCTGTTTCTGGTGCTTTATAAGGCTCTTGGCAGCGGTAAAGGCTTTGAAGCTTAAAGTGGCTTCACGGCTTAGGAATCCTTTCAGGGTGCTACAAAAGCACTATGATGGTACTATAAAAAAATTTCGGGCTTGAAGGTTCAAAACGGTTTAGGGCTCAGGGCTTAGGAATTAACAAAAAAATCAATGAATAAACACAGAGGAAAGCGATTGTTGAATAGATGAACGAGTGAACAAAATCAATTAGCAAATAGATGAACAAAGTTTGTTCTTATTGCTACTTATTGAAAGACCGAACTACTGATACTGATACTGACACGGGGTCACAAAGTATTCGTCGCAAGAAGAATCTTCCCTTCAAGCAGTTCAAATAAGAATACCATCACGAGCGCTCGGCATGCAGTTTCGCAGTGCCGCGCTGCGAGGGCATGCTAAAAACCCCACCCCCGACATCGTACTAATGATGAAAACTCTTACAACGGTACCCTGAACCCTAAACCTTAAAGCATTAAGGCTCTGCTGCTCTAAACCCCACCGGAGCGCTGGTTCTTGTCTCCGGGAACCAGCCCCAGCGTGGGCGCCACGCCGTAGAAGGCGGCGGTTCCATCCTTGGAGTTGTGGCCTGGGAAGATTCGGATAGGATGTGGCGCTGGGGGTCTGAGACGGTTACCTGAACCCTTAAGGGTTCAGGATGTCGGATTAGGGCTCAGGGTCTGCAAAGTTTTAGGGTCTAGGGTGGTAGGCTTGAGGAGTTTTAGATGCGGGGCACATCCTTGGTCCCAGGAATGGTCTACGCGGACTCAACTTTGCGACGATGCCCGTAGTCATGCCCCGCATGGATACTTTTTCAGAACAACTCGTCATCCCTAAACCTTAAATCCCATGCCCGCTCGACGGGTTTTACTTCTAGGGACCTACTTCTTCAAGACCCCAAACTCAGATCCGGTCCCCTCAATGCACCTGCAGGCTTCGTGTGGATCATATCCGGGCGTGTACAGGTAGGGGCTTCTACGGAACGTTTATTGTAAAGGCAATGTAAGTATCGGGTTAGGGTTGGGATTGCAATCAATATGTCAAAACTCGAACATTACGTGACATTAGCAGGGTTCAGACGGCACGTATATCCTGTAGACGATGTAGAGCCTTGCCCCTGGTCGAGGAGTTCCTCAGGGTGAATGCTGAGGCCTACGGGCAACCGCTTCTGCGACGCGGAACAGCAAACGGCCACCAACAACACCGGAACCACCCGCCCCCAGAGCCTAAGCCGAAACCAGTGGAGACTGAAACTCACGCCGAAAACCCCCAAAATCTGAAATGCCCCTGAGTCCCAACTCTTACACCGAACTATACCCTAAAACCTAAACCCTATAGCCTACACCTCAACCCTAAGCCGAGCCCTCGAACCCGAAACCTTTCAAGTGTCAATCACAAACACCACAAACCGAAACGCCTAGGCCCAAACTTTAAAGCCTCAATGACGGAGGCCCGCCTGCGATGATGCTCTGCGGGTTGATCTTCCCAGAGGACCACAGCGACCTTGGATGCGGTTGTGGCCTTTAGGGCAGCGAGCCCTCTTTTCCCACAGGGTTGACCAGGGCGCCAGCTGCGCTGGCGGACCCTAAACCCCTAAACCCTAAACACTAAACCCCTAAACCCGAAAACCCCTAAAACCCTGAACCCTAAACCCGAAAACCCCTAAGTCCCTGAACCCCTAAATCCCTCAATCCCTGAACCCCTAAATCCCTAAAACCTTGAACCCTAAACCCTAAACCCTTAAACCCGAAAACCCCTAAAACCCCTAAACCCCTAAACCCCGAAACCCCTAAACTCTGAACTCTGAACCCTA